CCTCAGAAAAAACCAGAAGACCATAAAGGGAAGAAAGTTCTTTTGTTTAAACCCCCTCCAATAATTAATAGAGAACAGTTTAGTCTTCTGGGAATAAAAAAGAAAGATGACAATAAAGACTTAGTGGACGAGCTAGTCAAAAAATTAGCAAAGCTAAATATAAAAGAAAATGGAGTATCTTTCAAGACTAGTTCTGATCAAGGAGTCATGGGTCTCCAAGAAGAATCATTTTCCAATAATGAACTTAATGAAATTGAACAAGCTTGCAAAGCAGAAAGCCTGGAAAATAAAAAGAATAGCTTATGGGAGAAAAGTAAGGCCAACTTCTCAAACTAGAATTTATTATCCTAGGCCTACTCTTGTAGATCTCCAGTTTGAAGAAGATTTGATTACCAGCTCTGTATCTTATTCAGGAAGATCTATTGCAAATTGGAATATTGACGGAATGTTAGAAAACCAAATACTTGATCTAATGAAGCATATGACTATGTATGCAATTGCGTGTAAAATAAGTGGAAATCATGACCAAGAAATAGCCAAGGCCATTATTTGTGGATTTACAGGGTGGCTAAGAGGATGGTGGGATTTCCATATGGAAGAAAATACAAAAAAAGAAATATTAACTGCCACGAAGCAGTGGGCAGTCAAAAATGAATATGGCCAAGATATAGTAAATAACAAAAGTAATGTAGTTAACACTCTAATATATACTATTACTCTCCACTTTGTGGGAAGTACTGCATTACTTGATGCTAGATCAGAAGACCTACTTTCTAACCTTATATGCCCAACACTATCCCATTATAAGTGGTATAAAGATGTGTTCTTCTCTAGATTCCTTTCCCGAGAAGATAGTAAATCGGATCACTGAAAAGAAAAGTTTATTGCCGGTTTACCGCATCTTTTTATCGAGAAGGTCAAAACATGATTAAAGAATAAACATGGAGGAATAATCCCATATTCTTTATACACATTGGGAGAACTATCAACCGAAATTTGTGCAGAAGGCCTTGCTCTCTGTACAAATCTAAAGCTGAAAAGGCAGCTAGAGAAACAAAGGATGACTGGAAGAAAAGAATTAGGAGATTTTTGTAAACAATTTGGATTTAACACTCTGCCTTCCTCCAAAGACTCGGATAAAAGAAAATATAAAAATAGAAAATATAGCAATAAGCCAGGATCCAATAAAACTTCTGTCAAAGACAAATTTTCTAAGAAATTTTCTCCAAACAATAATTTTAATAATTTTAGAAGGACCACGGGAAAAAGAAGGATACCTATTTGTTATAATTGTGGAAAAGTAGGCCATTATAAGAATAAATACAGAATAAAGAAAAAAATAGATGCCCTACAATTAGATGGTAATATCAGAGACCAACTATTTAGTATATTACAAATAAATAGAGAATCTTCAAATAGTTCTTCTAGTTTTGAATCAGAATGCTGGCTGGAGAAATAGAAAACGAAGATTTGATTCTTAGTGGCTCAGACTCATATCATGATAATATTGCTACTAATTGCTTCTGCAATACCCTTAGTAAAGAAGAAAATCTAATCCTAGATATAATAGACAAAATAACTGACTCGGAGACTAAGCGAGAAGCTTTAGTCCAATATATAAATATAGCCAAAACAAATAAAAAACCCTATCCTCCGTTAATCCGTACTCAAGAGGACTATAGTTTTGCAAAAATCCTTAAGAGAGTCGAACACCAAAATAATAACAATCATAAGGAACCTTCTGTCTCTGAATTACAATAAGAAATCAATGAAGTTCGAAATGAACTAATAAATCTAAAAAACAGGGTACAAATTCTTGTGTTGGCCTCCCACCCTGTAGAAGACAGTCCTGTCAATTCAGACGATGAACTAGAATTTAATACTATCATAAATAATTATAAAAAGCCTCTGCCTCTTAAGGTAGAAGAATTTCTTCCTAACGTAGTTAAGGATGAACCAGAGTCTTCGAATACGATACGAGATTGTAATTATGTTAGTCCTCTTGACAAGTAATTACTAAAAAATGGTTCACTATGATAAAGATAATTGTTCATAAAGAATATAGTTTCCAGACCCTTGCTTTAATAGACTCAGTTGCAAACCTGAATTGTATAAATGAAGGGCTTGTTCCTACTAAATATTTTAGTAAGACTACTCAAGTCTTAAATACAGCAGATCGCAGCATGATGATTATAAATTATAAACTTTCAAATGATGCAGTATGTAATAATGGAAATTGCTTCGAGTTCCTCTTTATTATGGTAAAAGGATTAGGCCAATCTGTAATCTTGGGAACTCCATTTTTAAACATGATATGCCCTATAAAAATTGATAGTGCAGGAATTGAAGCCAATATAAAAGGGCATAATGTGAAATTTGAATTTCTTGATAAACCTAAGACTCGAGAAATCAACAATATCAAAGGGACATTTTTTAATAAAGAAAAATTCTTATATTACCTAAAAGAAGAAATTAAATATCAAGCGATAGAAACTAAGCTCTCACTCCCTGAGAATAAAAGGCTATCAGAAAATATTAAAAATAATATTGAAAGAGAAATATGTGCTGAACTCCCAAATGCTTTTTGGGATAGAAAAAAGCATATTCTTAGCCTGCTTTATGAAACTTATTTCCTCGAAGAAAGAATTCCCACCAAAGTTAGACCAATCCTGATGAATCCCCGGCTTCTAGAAATTTGTAAAAAAGAAATTACTGATCTACTTCAGCAAAAGTTTATTAGAAAAAGCTCCTCCCCTTGGAGTTGCTCAGCATTCTATGTAGAAAAGGCTTTTGAGATAGAAAGGGGAGCTCCACGATTAATAATAAACTATAAATCACTTAATATAGTATTACGATGGATAAGGCATCCTATTCCCAATAAAAGAAATCTGCTGGATAGACTTGTAAATGCCTATATATTCTCCAAATTTGATCTAAAGTCTGGTTATTGGCAGATCCAAATCGCTGAGGAAGACAGGTACAAAACCGCTTTTAATGTTCCTTTTGAGCAATATGGACTTAAAAATGCCCCTTCGGAATTCCAAAATATTATGAATGATATTTTTAATTCTTATACAAAATTTATGATAGTCTACATTGATGATATTCTAATATTTTCTTAAAACCTAAAACAACGTTTTAAACACTTAAATGTTTTTGTCAAAGCAATTAAGATGGCGGGACTAGTTGTCTCTGCCAAAAATATTAGTCTTGCTCAAACAAAAATAAGGTTTTTAGGACGCAACATTTTCCAAGGGAGAATAATCCCTATTGATAGGGCTATTAAATTTTCCAATAATATCCCAGGCATTATTATAGATAAAACTGAGCTTCAAAGATTTCTGGGATGTCTTAATTATATTGTTGATTTTTATAAATATTTAGCTATTGATGCTTAACCAATATTTCAAAGATTAAAAAAAAATCCTCCTGAATGGACAGATGTACATACCTCATATGTATATATATATATATATGGAAAAGTTTATATGAGGTTGCAACCTTAAAATGTAGAGCTACATATGCCCCTCCAAAATCCATCGGAAATTGTTGTTTTAATGTTGAAAAACTCTAATTGATCATCTCAATATCAAGATGTATGAACATGAAAAAAAAAAAAGATTTTGAGTCCCAAAAATAATGCATCTTGCAACACATTATCTAGATCGTCTAATTTCAATATTTTCATATGTTCATAGATCTACTTTATTTTAACCATTTTTAGAGTTTAAAATTTTATAATTAAATATGAAAATAGATTTCCAGACAATTTTATGAATTTTTAACACAAAAAAAATGCATGTTCTGATAAAGTTTGGAGGTGCACCATATGTTCACAGATCTACTTAATTTTAA